AGGTGACAATTGAGCCCCATAAAGTTTCCGGCAGGACAGGATCTTCGCAACTCCCGCACGCGTCCAATATCCTGGGAAATCTCTCGGTGACCCTTTGAAGAAGTGTATTGTCCAAGGAACTAGGCGTGGATCGATGGTTCTACGCGCGCATGAGTATAAAATGGAGGATAATCAAGCATATCATACCTCCTCTAAAGTCTCGGAAAGCAAATGGTTTAAGGATACGGTCGCTTTAACTCGTTCAACGGCATCAAGAACGCTTTGAGGATATGCACTTTGTGATTCTCCAAACGTGTGGATTTGTAGTTGCAGGTGGAGGGTTCCTGTCGCGAGCACTGGCAGTGGCATGGTGAGGCTTAAACAAGTTAAGTATCGGATATCATAGTACTTAAGTTGTCGAGCTTTGCGTCCCTATTTTGAGTGGCCCACCATCATGAGCTATCACTGCTGACCATCTCATATGTTGGATATGGTGTAACGGTTCAACATTGCCGCTTCTCATCTAGAGTGCCGCGGCAGCTCGGGGTTCGATTCCCCATATCCAAAAATTTTGCCATTGGCCAAAGCCACATTGTGACTTTTTCGAGCGGCGAGCGCCGAGGTGACGGGAGATTCAATTTCAGACTCTCAGAGAGTCAGACGTCACTCTCTCAGAGACTGCCAACCAACTCCAAGTGGCAAGTGGCAACTGGAGTCAAGGCTGTCAAGCTTGAACGTGGATTCTTCGTGGAACGTACCGGTACAAGTTACAACACGGATATGTTTCGACCTATGAGATCTTTTTTTTTGCTGTAAGTTCCCTTGCTATGACAATAAGAGTCCCGTGCCAGCTGACGGTGGCACAGAATACTGGACTCGATCGGTACAACGTTATGTCGTACTTGTATGATCTTTCTTGAATCAAATGGTAGCACACACACTTACACCGTTTTTTCAATAGGTTTATGTATCTTCCAACCCTGTCCCATCTCGCAACCATGTGTTTTCACTAGCCCGCCTCGGAAATCCATCCATCCACGGTTCACCCAAGCTTCCGATAGCGCCATTCTCATAAACTCTCACCCAATCCACCCAGTTACGCTATCTCGCGGGGCCCGTCCATGCTCAACTGCCCCGAAGACGCCAGAACCCTCTTTGGAGACACCAAAGCGGCCGACATACCGCGGGACCGACGCGATGTTTTGTCGCTAAAGGGCTTCGTCGCATTTACCCTTTTTCCGATTCCTGTGAGCTCTCATCCCTTCTTGCTGGTCAGGGAGCATCAAGGTTTGTTGCGTTTGGAGATTCTTGAACGTAGAACGCAGTTGAACACATGTGCTCTGTCTTATCAAAGTTACCTGCCGTCTCTCAGGCCTCCTGAATTTCGATAGTGTCGGTGCGACCTAGGTGTGTCCCACTCTTTCTGCTCTCCTTCCGACAGCCGTCCTAATGCTGGATGGGGCGAGCAAGTAGTAAACAAACTCCCTCTCAGATTTCTTCTACCAGCTTTCCATCCGAGCGTCAAACATCCGTTCATCGTCCCCAGGCTTGCCTCCGTACAGCAAAGAGAACGCTACTGAATCCGCGAGTCTCCTGATCCGAATTGCCCTGGTTTCGATAATACTAACGAAGGATGCACGACTTCCCTGTGAAGGCGCGAATCCCCTCGACCCTCTCGCCGGCACGCCCTGAGCATCAACGTTCCAGATACACGCAAGTCACAAGGTGCATTGTCCCCCGCGCTAGTCGGTCGGCAGTCTCACGACAGATTAGCGGACCAGGCGGTGTGTCCGTCCCCTCGCGTCCGTATCGGCGTATCCCCATGCACTCAGGCTAATACGCCGTCGTTCACTAGCAGGTCACCGTCGTCGTCACTTCATCGCGTTTCTTTCTTGCCAGATACCGTCTTGTGAACCTCGTTGAAACCGAAGGAGCGGCCGCGGGACCGAACCCATCACTTGTGATGAAGATCTTCTTATCAAGTATTCCTCCATCTCCCGGGCAGAAGCTCTAACACAGACGTGCATTCAGGCTTCACGACCCTCGTGTTCTCTCACTTCCAAAGGATGTTTCTGAAACGTTTGCTCGTGACGCCCAAAGGCGGGTCACCAAGATGATCCTTCCGATCGTGGTTTAACTGTGGCACGCTCTTCGCGCCGTCCCCTCGGCACAGTGGTTTGACCTTCCAAGTCCTCTATCGCGTCATTGGGCGGTGCTCATGAAACACAAACACTCGGACTTTGCGCTGGTCGAGTCAGCTGGGCTCAGGGCTCACGAAATGGCTCGGAAATGAAGGTGACGCAACTGATGCCACCGGGCCATTCATAGACGCTATATATACGTCTTATCTTCTTGTCGTTTGGAACACATACTTATGATTGCTGAGAACGTTCCATTTTGGGCGGTGTCTGAGGGGGGAAACCCAAAGACCTTAAGTTCCGTCATACAGCCCTCCAAAAATACCAGTAAACGATTGAGCGTGAGTTTCCGCAACAAAGCCAGAGACTGTCCGGAACAGGTTTCCGCAACCGTGTCCGTCGGGAGCCTACCTTGTAGAAGAGCAAGGAGGGTTGATCCTATTCTAACGAGCCACCCACAGAAGACTCGCAAGAGCACGCGATTCCGACGGGTGCGTAGCCCCGTTGTGGTTGTTAGTAACGTATACTATAACACTCTGTATTACCACTACCACCTCTGCCTCCCCTGAGCCCCAGAACAAGCTCGACCTGCCCAATCGCGTCCCCTTCTCCCTCCCACGCCCACCACAGCCCTCCCCCGTCTCCCCATTCACTCCTTCCCATTCCAGGGGACGACGTTCAATTCACAGACCTGCACCGCGCGCACCCATCGATCACGCGCTCTCCAGAACGACTATCTTCCGAGTTGGGTCAGCCACGGAGACTAGCGCTCTCCCGCGTGAGTGCGTCGACCACGCCATCAGGAAGAGCGCCCGGGTCGGGGGGGAATTGGTAATGGGCAGAGCTTGCGATTGAATGGGCGGGCGTGGGAGGGCGCAGGACGGCCTGCATTGATACTTATCCGCGAGCAGGTGCGATCATCCATTGACCGCGTGCCACCATCAGCATTGTTGGTGCCGCCTCGGTGCTGTGGGTAGATTCTGTGTACAGTGTGGCGCATGGATGGCCAAGTTAGCCAAGCTCCCCAACTGCCCACTTAGTCTTGCGCGCACGCGGGACGTGCCCAACGTTGTTATTTATGTTATACCAACGAACGACGGTCAGGATCGCGTGCTGTTGCGGTGGTCCCGCGCGCTCCAGGCCCCAACAGCACGAATGTTTGTTACTGTCTGTGTCAGGCAGCGCCGTCGACGAACCCCTTAGAGAGAGAAAGCTCACAGTGAAATCTGATGCGGCGCACGTCCCTCGACGTCGTCGCCCTCCGGGACCCCAGTTGCTACGATGTCACCCACCTCCAGTGCCTCGCCGAGCACATCCATCACAACACCCAGGAGAGGAGGGGCTCAGGACGTCCCCGAGGGGCCAGGGCTCGGACCTTCGACGCGGAATCGCAGAACCTTCGACACACGTCCACGCCGCCCGAAAAAGGGATAGGGATATAGTTTCCATCCGTGGGCGCATATGGACGGACGGCGTGGGCGAGGCACCGGAGGCGGGCTGGGAACTTGGAAGCACTCTGACTCGTCGAAGGGAGACTCGGAGAGGTACGCGAGGGCGGTCTGTCCGAGCAACGTTGATGCACGCGCGCGCGGCGCAAAGCTTGGAACTCGGTGCTCGGTCGAACACTGTCGGACAGCTGCCGTCCTTGGAGGGTTTCAGATGGTCGCCGCCGCGTTCAATAATGGTGGCGGGTCTGATGTGCTGATGCCTCTTTCTTGGAATCCCACCGAGCTGCAGCCCTCGCACGGGTGGCACATGGACGGACAGGTCGATCCAGGGCCGACGCGCGGCTCGTTCCTTGGAATTCAAGTTCGAAACCCTTGCTCGCAGCGAATCCCCGGTTTGCCTTGACTGGTAAGTACACCCTTCGAACCGCATGAATGCAGTGTGTGTGTGCGTGTGTGTGAGAGAGAGAAATCAGCAGGAAAAAAGGCGAGAAAGTGCGCATTGACGAGCGGAGGCTCACGGCACGAGGTATGCTGGTAATACAGTGTAGCCCAGACAAAAATGTGAGCACAGAGAGGGAAATGGGGGGGTCAGAACGAGAGGCTAGGGGCGAGAGGATAAAAGAAGAAGGGGAGAAAAAACAGGCTCGACGCATGTAGAGGTGTGCAGTGCGGGTGATAGGTGTCCGATGGCGGGGGAAAGTCTGGGATGGAAGCGTGCATTACGGGCGAGGAGGGGGAGACTGAGACAGGTCGAGACGGACATGAGAACAGAGACGCGAAGAAGGACGGTGGCAGACAACAGAGAAAGGGGTTAAATAGTTGTCCTCGACCTGCGCACGCCCTCGGTCAGCCGTCCGTCCCCAGATCGCGAGAGAGAACGATGCACGTACGATCGCAAACAAACACAGAGAAAAGTGCAAGCTACAGTACAGCCCGCCGCGCCTTGGCCCGGATGACGCGGTCGTACGACTCGCGAACCGGGTTGCGCCATGCCAGGACGGTCAAGTGCGGCATAACGTAGGGCGAGGGGAGAAGCGCGTGGACCGCCTCCGGCCGCGCGTGCGGGTTCTGCTGGGGGAAGAAGGCGGTAAGATGGTGCGCGCCGGCGGTGGGGGCGTTCCCGCCCGTCGGCAGCTGCGCGAGAGAGGAGAGCGCGGCGGACGACGCGGTGGAGGCGGTGGAGAGCGTGCGCGTGCGATCGTGTGTGGCCCGCGCGCGCGCGGCCGGTTGTGGCGAGCCGGGGAGCGTCGAGATGGAGCGGGCGGAGGAGGTGGACGGACGGCGGAAGGGGGCGGTGAGGGTGCCGGAGGGGGTAGGCGATGTAGGCGTGGGTATGGAGGGATGGATGGAGGAGTTGTCTGGGGGAGAGGAGGAGATGTGGGCTTGTGCAGCGGAGGAGGTCACGGCGAGGGGGGCGAGGTGGGCGTGACCGAGGCCGTAGGAGTTGCCGCGGATGAGGGGGTGGGGACGAAGAGGACCGTCGTGGTGGGAGATGATGGACGGCGGGCGGGTGGACGACATGCGTTTCGCCTTCTGGTGGGGACGGGGAGAAGTGGGTGTCGGTGGCTGCGTACGGGCCACGGCTCGGGTGGGAGGACTGGCAGACGTCGGCGTCTTCGGTCCTTGTGATGTCTGATCTGGAGTGCGAGAACGACCGGGAGGGGCGCGATTCGTGGAGGATACGGAGGTGTCGATGAGGGGGGCGGACACGGAGGGAGGCATGGCGGAGGGAGGTCGGGCGGCGATGAGATGGTTGATGTTGTTCATGTTGGCGCGCGGCTGCTGCTGTTGCTGCTGCTGTGGGGGCTTCTGTTGAGGTTGAGGCTCTGGCATCGTCTCCGCACGAGGAGTCGGCGGTCGTGGCGCCGCCGCGGGATTGCTGTGCCCGGCGTCGAAGGGCGCAGCGAGGACCGGAGGCGGAGGCAGCTTGCGCCGTTCTTGGGGCGTGGTCACGATCTCGGATTCGGAGCTCGAGTTATCG